GCCAAGGAGGGAGAATTGGCTGCTGAGATCGACCCCCAGGCGTCCGCTGGTCTGAGCCCTCCCGGCCCCACCTTGACCCGCAAGGCATTCGCCACGATGCCATCCACGATGACTTCAGTGAAGGGATCAAAGGACTTGTCCGGCCGCCGCATGAACTCGGGCTTGAGCAGGTACCCACTGCGCCCATTGTACTCAAACACGCCTGCATTAAGCTGCATCGCCACATCTGGGTGTGACACAGGAGGGCAAGGGTCAGCAGGTGGAACGGGCTGAGGAGTCAGGCAGGACAGTGCCATGCAGAGGTGGGACCAGGGATCATTAGGGGTCAGATGGAGTCCAGAGGCCAGGTCAGGGGTGGGATCAAATGGCATCAGGGGTCCAGATTCAGGAACGATCAGAAAGGTGAGGGGTCTAGAGTCAGCCAAGGTCAGAAGTTGGGATCAGTCAAGGTCTGGGTTCAGTTTGGGGATCTGGGATTAGATAGGGTCAGAGGTCTACTCAGGGAAGACTAGCAGGATCATGGATCAGAGTCAGTAAGATTGGGGGTCAGGGCTCACCCAGGGTCTGGAAGTTGAGTGCGACAAGCTGGCAGCCTACGTTCCAGAAGAGCTGGGGCATGTAGTTGGAGGAGTCCACACGGGTGCCCTTGGGGTAGATGCGGCTGAGCTGCTGCTTGTTGTACCTGAGGTTGGCAGTCAGGGGCCACTCGGGGTATAGTGCCCACCCCTGCCTCCAGCCCGGCATACCTGCGAATCCCACTCCCCCTCCACCAGCCTCTGCTCATGCCGCCCCTTGGGCCTCTGCTTCTCAGCCCAGCCTGCCCCTGAGACTGTCCAGTGCTGCCCAAACCTCGGGCCAGAGCCCTATGCAGGTGGCACACGTGGGTCAGAACATCTGAGCCGGACTTGGAGTGCCCCGCCCGGTCCGCCTGCCACCCACAGCTCCTCAGGATACTCCACAAACTCCATGGGGCTCTTGGTCAGCTGCTCCATGGCCTTGGTCTCCACGAAGGATGACATCTCAAAGCACTTGTTCCTCTCTGGGGAGTGGGCAGAGGGGGGTGGGGAGGTGTCAGGCCTGGCAGGCTGGCTCCCTCCCCCACCACCTTTCTCCACTCACTTCGAGCAGCTTCGAAGGACTTGAACTTGACAGGCTCAATGTAGTTGACGAGCGTTGACATCTCCTCAGTGGCGTTGACCTCACTGCTGGCTGTGCCCTGAAGCCCATGAGCCTGGGGTCAGCAGTACCGCCCCCAGTACCAGCCGGAAGTTCCCTCACCTGCCCGCCCCACAAAGGAGGCGCTGACGACCCTCTTCCCACCACTGCAATCACACTGCCAGTGGCTTTTAGAAAGGGCCCCACCCCCCCATAACCCACGGTCCCACCTGTCCCGATGACCTCCTCCCTGCAGCCAGGCCTACCTGCCCTGGAACCCTCCCCACCGGCTTGCCTCCTGCCTCCCTGGCCACCCCTATTCTCCCTGATCCAAACCCAGGGGTTCAATTTTTCACATGCATGAGCCCCCAGTTTCCATCTCCAGCCACTCTTTCCAGTCACCACCTTGCCATCTCCTCTCAGGTGGCCCTCAGGATCCTCAAACTCAGTTCCTGTGAATGTGAACGCTGGCCACCCCTGCCCACACCCTCTCCAGGTCAGGGACCCTCTCAAGTCTGACCTCATACGACAGTCAGATTGACCTTTTCTGTCACTGCTCCTCAGAACTCCTCAATGCTCCCCGCGACAGCACTCCCTCAGCTCGCACGGGCCCCTCGTCCTGCGCACTCTGGCCGCGCCGCCGCCGCAGGGCCTCGCCCGTGCTATTCCTGCTGCCTCAGGTCTGCCCACCCCAACCTCCTTCCCCAGGCCAGACTCCCCTTTCTCCCCAATTCTGCACCCTAACTCGCCCCTGCCCAGCCCACGTGGTGAGCACAGCTGCACCCTCGTTTCTACGCCTACTTATTTAAATTCCCTCCTCCCCCTTCATACACAGAGTTCCAGGAGGGTGGGGACATGTCCGTCTTGTTCTTGGCCAGACCCATCACCCGGTGCCATGACATGCTACCTCCCCCACCCTCCCGCCTGTGGGCCTGACCTCATCCGTGGTTGGCTTTTTGGGGTCTGTCTGCTCCTCCTCTTCCTCGTCTTCCTCCTCATCCTCACGGTCAGCAGGTCCCAGAGCATCAGGACCCCGATTTGGGCCCTCCTCACCCAGAGACTTGCGAGGCTCCAGGCTGGGCTTCTCCAGCCCCGCCTCCTCCCCATTGCTCAGGCCTGGGCAGCTGTCAGAGCTGGGGGACCCTGCAGAGGGCAGGGCCACAGGGGTCAGAGTCAGGACCCCACACAGATGCACAGGAAGCTCAAAACCAGTCCGTGTGGAGATGACTCAGTGCAGGGCTCAAGGGGTACTCTCAGGCAGTGTGTCTTGGGGAGAGGGCAGAGGTCAAGGGTCAGATAGCATTAAACCCAGTCGCAGTCTGGAGGAGTCACAGGTCAAAGGTGAAGAGTTATATGTAACAGGGAGGTAGGTGGGGTGGCTCCGAGGGACGACAAGCCAGGAAGAGGGATACAACGGCCTTCACAGTGGGGTGCTGAGGGTCAGGCTGGGCCATACCGAGCTGCGGGGAGGAGGGCTCGGTGGCGGCGGAGCTCTCGCTCAGCACCGAGTTGCTCTGCTCCAGCGGCCGCTTGCGCACGGAGCTGCCGGGGACGCCTGCGCTGGGCCGGTGCCGCTTCTTGTTCTTCACCAGGATGCGGCCCATTAGGTCCTGGGGGCTGGGCAGGGGGATGCCTGGGGCCAGCTGGGCGAGCAGGAACAGGTCAGGGCCTGCAGAGGTGCCCCTCACCCCCGCTGCCCTGCCTCGGCCCCGAGCCCCCCTACCGGGTACTTGTCCAGGGGGTCGATGAGCAGCGCGTCCCCAAAGATGGAGCGGCAGTACTCGGCCATCTTGGCCTGCTGCTTTGCCCTGTGGGCCAATGTCAGAGGTCAGAGGCTCCAAGGGGTGGGGTTGAGGTCTACAGGTTAGAGGCCTACAGGGTCAGTGGAAGTTCCCAGGGTCAGAGGTCACTGGAGCAGGTGACAGTGCCATGGGGGGAGGCTGCCTCAGCCCATCAGGTCCCCAGGTCAGGGCCCACTCACGAGTCCACGTGGTTCTCGAAGGAGAGGATGACGGGGTAAGGCGAGGTCTTGAAGGCGGTCTCTGCAATGGCCTCGAGCACGTCACGAAGGGGCACCTCGGTGGTCATGGTGAAGCCATGGGTGATGAAGGGCTCCTCCTCGGGCGGCCGCCCCTTCCACACGTCTAGCTCCACGCAGCGGCAGCCCCACAGCAGCGCCTGGCGGTACATCTCCACCGACGAGGTCCCGGCCAGCTGCCCCGCTGGGAGCGAGGCTCTGTCACCACAGCCACCTGCCAGCCTGGCCCTTACCACCCCCGCTCCACATTGACCCAGGCCAAGCTGGGGACATGGAGGCCCCCATGGTAACCCAGTCCAGCCCTGGCACACTCTGGTCTGCCCCTGATCTCTCCTTAATTCTCTGTGGAACCAGCACCATTTCCCCTAAAAGTCCCCCGGGCAGGGCCCAGGACCTGCCCCCCAGCCCCTAGCACCCACCCTAACGAGGCACAGAGCAGAGCAGGCATCTGCCAGTACCTACTGCCAAGGTGGTTCCTCCTCCAGGGCTCCGCCTCTCTCAGATAAACACCCACCACCCACCCACCCCACCAGCCCAAACTGTGGGAGTCATCCCCACACCCACTCTAGCTCCCCACAACCGTCACCATCCCTCCATCACCACTTCCTCCACCTGCCCCTGGCCTGGGACAGCCTCCACCACCTCTGAGGGACCAGAAGCCCCTCCTTGCCTCCAACCCAATCTCTATAGAGCACCTGGTGTCATCCTTCTCAAAAGTCTCCTCACCTCCTCTGCATCACACCCTCCAAAAAACCTCTCCCTCCCACCCAGGATACATCTGAAAGCCTCCCAAGAGCCCAGGGCTAGCCCTGCCTCCCTTTCTGGCCCCCTCCCTCACCATGCCCTTGCCCTGGCCACTCCCTGTCCCACCTCCCTGGCCTCCTTTCTGCTTCTTTTTTTTTTTTTTTAAAAGATGACCGGTAAGGGGATCTTAACTCTTGACTTGGTGTTGTCAGCACCACGCTCACCCAGTGAGCAAACCAGCCATCCCTATATGGGATCCGAACCCGTGGCCTTGGTGTTATCAGCACCGCACTCTCCCGAGTGAGCCACGGGCCGGCCCCTTTCTGCTTCTTAAAAGCACCCCGGGGTCTCCTGCTCTCAGCCTTCACACAGGCTGTTCCTCCATGCTGCCAGCTGTTGCCAGCCTCAGCCCTTCCCCAGGGAAGCTTTCTGACCCCCGTGAGGCCCAGCCATGTGGAAACCCCACCCCTCCAACCCCGGTATCCCCAGCACTGGCCAATGAATGAGCAAATGAGGTGAAAGAACTGCACCCCAAGCAGAGGGAGGCGGGGCAAGGGCCAGAGGCCGGGCACAGCCGCGCCACTCACCCGTGAGATAGGTGTTGTGCGAGGAGTTGATGAAGTAGGCACTCAGCGGCTGGGTCATGTCTGCACTCAGGTCCAGGGCTTCCAGGGGCAGGATGCCATTCTCTTCCCCTCCCAGGTAGCGGCTGAAGCCCTCCATGGACATCTGGTCTGGGGTTGGGGAGGGTAGCAGGGTCAGCGGAGGCCCTTCCTGCCACCCCTGCCACCTACACCACTGGCTCACCTCGCTCCAGGAACTGCTGGTTGGGCTCGTACTTCTCAATGAGCAGCCGGGCCTGGGAGGGCCTCAGGGGTGGGTACAGCACTTCGTTGAGTCTCGGGTCCCGTTGCTTCTGGTTGATGAAGTCCATAAGCTGTTCTAGCGTCAGGTACGGCTTGCCCTTGGCACCTCTGGAGGGGGTCAGAAGCCAGGTCATGCTGGAGCCCCACTAGTCCCCCACGCCAAGCCCTCATCCTGGCAGAGAGAGTCAGAAGGCTTGTGCCTGGCTCCAGCACTCACTGATTGTGATTCTGGGCAAGTCACTGCCCCCTCTGGGCCTTAGTTTCCCCATCAGCTCTCCTGTCCACCCTCATTGTCAAGGCAGCAGACAAGCTGGCGTCGGCATTAGCAAGAGCCCTGGAAGCTGCCAAGTGCTCATGCCACCACCCCATGCTTCCAGACCCTGGATCCAATCTCAGCTCTAGCCCTCACTTGCTGTGTGATCTCAGGCAGGTCCCACAACACATCTGAGCCACTTGGCTCTCATGCCCAGAGTGGGCTGATTAAACCAACTGTGGCAAAGGTTTTCCACGAAAAAGATGCGGAAATGGCGGCTCTGAGCATGGCACATCCCCCCACCCACCTCGGCACTCCAGCACTGGCACCAGCTCCGCTTCTCACTGGGGTAGAAGCGCACTGAGCAAGAGCCAAAGGGCACAAGGGGCTGGGAGGTGGGCCCCGCCCTGCTCACATCTCCAGCAGGATCTTGTCAATGTCTGGCCGTAGACACAACTTGTTCAGGAACCGCTCGAAGATTTCCAAGGAAAACTCATCAGGACGAATGGACTCACTCTGGGGACCAAGGAGTGTGGGGTGAGCACCCAGGCAGCCAGCCCCAGAAGAGTGAGCACCCCCAGGACACCCCAACCCCGCCCCTGCCCACACCACACACCCGGTTGAAATTGAGGCCACAGGACTCCAGCGCGGTCTCCACCCGTTTCTTGTCTGCTGAAAACATCTTCAGGATGCTGATGCAGGCAGGAGGGGTCAGGGTCAGTGGGGGGGACAAAGGTCACCAAGGTCAGAGCAAGAGAGAAGGTGCTGAGAGGAAAGGGGTGCTCACTTCTTGACTGGGATCCGTCCATCCTGGTTCACCTGCAGCTTCAGCTTCGTGTATCTGGGGAGAGAAGCAGAGGTGTCACACCCTGGGAAAGGCCACCTGAACACCCATCGCCCCCCCCCCGGGTGGCCTGGGGCTTACGCTTTGCGCAGGAAGGTGTTCCGGGAGGCATTCTGGGCCAGGATGTTCATAGCCAGCTTGAACAGCTCCTCAGACCAGACCTAGGGGGTCAGCACACAGGGGCAGGAGAGAGTGGTGGACAGAGGGGCTGGCCAGCCACAGTCCACACTGCCCGGAACTGGATCTGGGACACGGGAAGTTACAGAACAGTGTAGTACAAAACGGGAGCTCAGGAAGTGATGGCCAACTCGGTGAATGGGGCAATGAATCCCCCTGGCTGTCCCCAAGGCCCCAGCCCACCTTGGCTGTGTCATCCTGCACCGCCATGAAGTTCAAAAATGTTGTGTTCACTGGGTCGGGCCCAGCTACCACCGTCATCAGCTTCTCCTCCAGCCGGGCATCGGGGCCCCCAAAACCCAGCACTTCCCGGATCTTAGGGTCCTGAGTAGGTGAGAACCAAGGGTGAGGAGGGTGTCCTGGTCCCACACAGCCTGGCTCCCATCCTTACTCCTGGGCCCCATCACTTACCTTGGGCAGGCGGGCATAACGGCCCATCCGTGTGTCCCTGATAGAACTGATGTCAAGTGTGTCCACCTCCTGAGGAAACCACATACCAGGGTGGGTCTATGAGGCTGCAAAGTGACAGCTGGGAGCCCCCAAGCTTCCCACCCAGGCCAGGGAGTCACCACCCCTGGCCGTAGGCCCGCCTCAGCCCCTGCCCCTAGCACTTCCTGTCTGGGGAACCGTGGGAGAGGTCAGCCAGCAGCTGGGCCCTGCCCCTATGGGCAGGAGAGGAGGGACAGGGTGGGGGTCTGGGACAGTGGCCCTAGGCCTGAGCCAGCTGTACCAGTGCACGCCCTCACCATGTTAGGTCCTGTCCAGTACAAGAAGAAGCCGTTGGGGTCCACTCGCAGGGTCACCAGGTTACGACTGGAGGCCTCCTGGGGATAGCACAGGCCAGCAGAAATCACGATGTGAGGGCTGCAGCCCAGGCTTGGTCTTTGGACCCCCTCCAGCTATCCACCCTAGTGTTTCTGCCAGTGAGCTGAGACGATGCCACATCCAGCCCACGGGCCCTCCATGGCTACCTACAGCTCTCAGGACAAAGCTAAGGTCCTCAGCATGATATATGGTGTGCAAGAGTGAGTTCTGGCCCCAATGCTCCTCCCAGCCTCACTTTCCTCTCACCCTCAGATTCTGTCTCATGGACCACGAACTACCCTTTCCCCATCTCCCAGCTTTTGCCTAATGTTCCCTTTGTTAGGATATCCTCTCCTTCCTTCTCTACCCACAAAATCTGACCACCTACTGGGAAGCCTCCCCTGGCCCCCACCCTGGGCTCAGTTTCCCCAGAAGGCCTGAGAGCTCCATGAGAGTTGGATTCCTCCAGCAGCCCCCTTAGTTCAGCCCAGTACAGAATGTCCATGGGATGAAAGCAGAGGGTTCAGAAGTCTGAACCCACAACACTTCTGTGTCCCTTGGGCCCCAGGATGACCGCCACCTCTTAGTCTGCCTCCAAGTCCATTATCTGCCATCCTGCACCTTCTGGGATCCTCACAGCCTTGGGGTTCATCCCCATCTTACAGATACATGGGCCCCCCAAAGGGGACTCACTCTGCCTTCAGGACCGGGCAGTGAGCTCTGTCCTCCCTGTGACTGGCAGGGGGCTGGGAAGGGCAAGCCAGACCCATTTCCTGAGGAGGGCCCAGTCCCTGTCAACTCCCAGGGCTACCCCGTGTGACTCAGAACCAGCTGCCAGAGAGGGTGTCATCAAGGGCTTAGACTCAACCAGGGCCTGAGTGGCCAGGTGTCCACAGGTAGAACTCTCCTGCCCCAGGCTAAGAGGACCCCCCTCACCTTGGGTGCTACCCCCAACTGCTGCTCACTGTCTGGTGGACGGCACCATTGTCATCAATACAACAGCTCACACTGACACTGCCCCTGCCGCCTGCCAGGCACGGTTCTAAACTCTTAATATCTAGGAGGCCATGTAGGCCTCCTAACAACCCTATGAAGTATGTGTTATGGTCATTCTCATTCTACGGTGAGGAAACTGAGGCACAGGGAGGCTATATAGCTTGCCCAAGGTCAAGAAGAGCCAGGATTTGCATGAGGGCAGCATTGTTCCAGCATCCTGTGACCTGGGAAGCAGGGAACCGAGACTTCTGCCAGGCTCCAAGCTCCTGGCCTCAGCCACAACCTTACTGCAGGGCCTGCAAAGTCTCCACTTTCCAGACCTCAGTTTCCTCTTCTGGAGAATGGGGGTTGCATCAGCCCCACCCATTGCAGGCTATGCTTACAAGGGACAGGAGTTCACCTGGGGACAGAGGGGACAGGAGACCCCAGAACTTTTGGTATGCATGGGCCTCCCCACCTCAATATGCTGACACTCATCCCCAGCCCCTCTTTGGTATTCCCAAGCTTGCCCGGGGGCTGAGTCCCCCCAACAGTGTGAGGAGGGGGGAGCTCTGTGGGTGCTGCCCCCAAGGCCTCCCCTGGCCCCTCGCCAGGGGTCTGGCCTTCAGTGACAGCCCAGGCCCCCTGCTCTCCAGCCCCAAGCCTTTGTCAGCACCCCCCACCCCACCCCCAGGGCCCTCTCCCTGTTCCCACTTCCTTATTTGGGTTTATCAGACTGGAAGAAAAATGAGAAACTTTTCCCTTCAGGCCGCCTGGGGGGAGGGGTCTCCCGCAGTCCCTGGGGCACCCAAGCACCCCCGGCCCACACGCACACCTGCTGGCCTCAGACCACGCCCCCAGCCCCTCCCCCCAGCTCCCACGCCTACCCGCCCCACCCAGCCGGAAAAGAACCCAGAGTCTTCCAGGCCTGTGGCCTGACTGGGAAGAAGCAGCGAGGAAGCTCGTGCAGGCCGGGTGGAGGCCCTGGGGAAGGAGGGGCCCGGGGCAGAGGGGGGCGGTGTGAAACGTGGGTGGGGCGCAGGACTGGGATGCGGAGCCGCAGGTGGGGGCCCGAACATCTGGGAAGCGCCAGATGCAAGGCAGGTAGAAAGGGGGGGCCAGGATTTATTGGGTTTCAAAGTTCCGAGGCTAAGGAGTGGGGAGCAAAGTTCCGGGAGGCGTTGGAACTTGGGGGGCAAAGTCTCCACTAGGGGGTGACTTGGTGCTCCCAACCTGAGCAGGGAGCTGGGCTGGGATCCAGAAGCAAGGCGAAGGGGTGCCAGCCAGAATAGGGTGAAAAAGTGATGAATGGAAGAGGATTGTTCAGGCCAGGGCACCAGGGTGAGTAGGCTCCCAGCGGCACCCACCCAGAAGGAGGATGCCCTTAGCCAGATTAGGGGTCAGGGTCCCCCGGCCAGGGAGTCCAGTGGTAGGCAGGGGTCAGGGGACGAGGCCGGGATCGGAAACCAGAATTAATCTGGCAGGGAGGGGTGGGAACGGCGAGTTAAAGGGGGGGCGGGGGGCTGTGAGATTTATTGGGGTTCGAAGTCTCCGCGCCAAGGAGTGGGGAGATTTTCCAGAGCCGAGGGACTGGGGCGGGGGGGGCGACGTCTTCTTCACGGGGACGATTGGGGACTCAAGTTTCCGGAGCGCAGCAAGGCTGGGATTGGTGGGGCGCCGTGGTCAGGCGAGGCTGGGGTGGGGGTCCCCGGCGTCCGGCCGAGCTT